ATGCATTCGGTATCATTTTCCTGATCATTTTAGGTTTTCTAAGTAGAAATTTAGATCAGTAAAAAGCTTCAAGCTTTGGGTGTTTTTACTTTAATTCTGAGTGAGTTAACCCATATCTCAAGGGGTCAAATTTGGAAAATTTAAATTCGGAAGACTAGGAGCCGATACATCCAACGACTTGGTGAATATACAATTTAAACGAAGATTTTCGATTTCTCTACTATGAGACCTACTTCTGCTTCACTTTTATCTTCTCTCTTCTTATTGGCTAGTTCTCTAAAAGCATATTTATAAGTCCCAATCAACGAAAACGTGGTCACATGCTCTAACCTTAACGATCATGTAAGGAATCGTAGTGTCGGTATTTGGAGCATCCTGCTTAATATTTCTTTTGGTGACATTTTGAGTAGAGCTGAAGCAGACGCGGTATATCGGTGTGTAAACTTCGTTTGGAGCGCATGGGGTGCCATCGAATGGTGCCATCTGGCAGGCGTCCGTTAAGTAGTCGTAAACTTTCCCACTATCACAGGTTGCACGTAGGATCTAGAATTAAAATGGCAATTTATTGTTGGAATATTGATACATAGATAGGCAACACACTTAATGCAGATGAAGAAAATTCGTTTCTTCCTTACAGTCTTAGGCTGCTAGCTTCATTATTAACTGGTTTCGCATAACGAAAAGTGGCCAGATCTAATTTGGCAAACTTTTCATATTATTCCCCAGTAACGCACAGAATTAGAACAGACATTACAGCCTTATTGATTAATCAAATGACTTACGAAAATTTTCAGTGCCGTTTTGGCCTTGAGATGAAGAAATATCGCCTGTACGTCTCCTGCATACATGGCTTGGGTTCCTGTGATAATTAGACCACTTTCACTGCAATGAGGCAAGTTACTCCCAGAGTAGACATTTTCAGTTCCGATGTAATCAATGATTTTACCTAAATTATCAAATAATAATTACTTTAGATCGATGTAACGTCTTCATTATGGTTTTAAAGAGTCAATTACTTCACGGGATTTTTCCCGACGAACTTACTTGGAAAATGAAAGTCTAGGCTCTGCTGATTGTCCCAAGTCACCTTTCCGTCGAATCCACCAACACTTTCATCAATAAGGTGACAATTGAAGTATTCATTCTTCCTAACATTTTCTGGACAGGTGAAACTCAATCTCTCAAGTGAGATTGTTCTATTGAATTCCACTTTGTAGGAAGTCATAGCAACCTGCACAAAGAAAAATATATTTATTTTAAGCTAACAAACTCTTATCAAAAAATGTTTATTTTAATCAATGGGAAGAACAATTGAAATAAGCCCATATTTAAGCTCAAAAAGTTATTTTCTTAGACTAAGTTGTCAAACTTAAAATGTAATTAAATTCCATCTTTATCAACATTGATTAGCCTTGTAAATTAAAATGCTTCCAATTGTTCTGCAGTGTACTAGAAACTTAGAAAGGGTTATTGTGTAGGACAGAAAATAGAAACGAATGAATTGGTCTAGAATTTATCGATTGTAATCGCAGTACACTGTGGATTTTCTGCACAAACTCATTTATTGATTTTCTACTCATCGAAACCGATAAACATATAACCAGTCCCTTAAGGCTGGGATCAATACTTGCGCTTGTTGCTCCTCAATACTCATAGAAATCTCTTATCTGCGGAGCCACGGACCAACATTTAAATGATTCAATTTATCTGCATTAATCTTCCTTCACTCATCCATTCAAATTTTACTCCATGGTATGATTAGTTAAAAGATATGTCTATATTATCGGTTTTCAGTTGATCAGGCAAAATAAATTATTTCTTACCTTAGTATTTTCATAATTGAGACTGAATTGGATATCTCGTGACTGTGGAACAGACGAGATGAAATTGATTTCAGATGGAGGAGGTTTTCCAAGAGTTTCCAATAGAGCTTCTGGTAGTATTTTCATGGTTAGAGCCATGTCATTTAGGCGATTTGTCACTTCGGTGGGCACCACTTGATATCCCAAGTTTATTCGTTGTGCACCGCCTACCAAAGTTGGGATCAAAGTCCCCAGAGTTGCCTTCAAAGATAAAAAGAGCAACTGTTAAAAACAATGCTTATATTTGCCCTTATGATTATATCTGCCTAGGTTATGCCTATAAATGAGACCCTAAGTTATGAAAACCATTGATAACAGTTTAGAGAATGTTGTGGAAGAACAGTTAGTAATTCCAGTTGGATAATAGGATTTCCTATTGCAAATCAGTTTAACCTAAAGTAGTAGGTAGAATACGCAAACACTCGGTGCTTTATAGAGTCGTATTGCTAGTTCAATAGACATTTGAACTGCATTACGGAATATACGGTTCTCCAAAGCACTGCACTTGATCACTTCTTGATCAATAATTTTGAAATGAGCGACCGTGCGTAAACTCCTCATCATTTGAACAGAAAAGACTTATACCATTTTCAATCAAACTTCTTTCATTGCGGTATTTAAATGTGAAAGCACTCCACTTCATTTTCGAGAAGGCGTTACAATTTGGCAGTTACTGTTCATCTCAACCTCTCCTCTCCCTCCCAAACTTCCATAGATTTGAGCTAGTAGCTTTTGTCTTTGTCTTCCAAATTGGTAAAAAAGTGAGAAAACACTATGAATTTCTCCGCTTTCAAATGCATTTGGACAAAGCCTAAATATAATGTATAATAGCGACGTTATCGCTTAAGCCTCATATCTACACTCAACGGCAGTAACTTAGCATGATACCCTCTTGTCAAATAAACTCCAACCAGAAATTTTCCTTGACTTCTAATGGCTAGAAGAGAGGAACGTGTAAAGGCTGTTCAATATTTAGTTCGTTTCTGAGTTTCTGATTGAGATCAAGCAAGAAGTTTGATATCAAATCCGATGGTATAAACTTTTGAACAAGAGAACTTGATAAAGTAAGCAAAATCCTCTGTAAAAAGTGGACAGATTAGAATATGCAGAAACTCAATAAAGTGGGATTTGTTACATCTTGAACTCAATGTCACCTTTTCACCCTATTTCACTTTTCAATTGGTTTAGTTTACTACTTTCCTAATTTAGATATGTACCTTTGGTTAATTCATGATACCTTTAGCCTTTATATACAAAGAAGCAAACAATGAACGTTTAGTTAGAGAAAAGAAAACAGTATTAGACATAAGAAATCGTTAGAAAATTTGCTCAATGACTTACGTCAATCTCAGCAGTGACTCCCTTTCCAGGTCTACACCGAATTTCAATCGGGGATATGGGACAAGTGTATGAGTTTCCTACCATATCCGTTGGAATATCACCACACATGCAGATAACGGTGTCTATCAAAGCTGAACAATCGTAGGACAACTTCCTACATTGCAGATTGCATGACTCAACATCCAACTGGGAAAGGTAACACAAATTAATAAGTTGTACTAACAAATAATAAGTAGGAATTACTGAACTTACTCCGTAGTGCGATGCATAAGAGCAGTAGTGGTATGCTTGGAAAATTCTTTCATTATCACACACATCAGTCACAGTGGACTGGTAACTTAAATATTGAAACGTGAAGAATACCTAAAGCCAAAACAGATGCGTTAAATTTGCATTAGTATTGATTTCGGATGGTTGATAAATGCCATCCAAAATTTCTATTTGAAAAGTGTTATTTGTGAGTTCTGTTGTGGAGTGAAAATGGGCCATTTTTCTACTTGAATAGTTCTCCTATATCAAAAAACATGTAATTTACAAAATCAGCACACCAAATCAATACTACA